ACCATACTGTTGTGTGTGTGTGTGTGTGTGTGTGTGTGTGTGTGTGTGTGTGTGTGTGTGTGTGTGTGTGTGTGTGGATTGTTTTACCTCCTTTTCGAGACCTGCTTTCAGACTTCTGTCTTCGCGCCTTTTCAGAGTTTCTTCTTGTTTCAGGAACCACATAAATCTAAAAATAAAGCCTCATTTTTCTAACTTTGAGCTTTTTATGCCCTCCTGGTTATTTTTTCAAATTTAACTCAGTTTGTTCCTAAACTAATTCTTCCATTCAGAGCAGATCGGCCCTCTGCTGGGCTTTAGACATGTTGTAACAACTAATGTCATCACCGGTTAATCTGATTTACAGACGGATTACAGGGATTACCGTCCGAGGGTGGAAGTATTCCAGTGTCCTACCGGGGAATGACTTGTGAATCAGTGTGAGCGCGGCTCTAAAAGTCGGAGCTGGTGTTGTTTTAGCATGGTCCGTACAGGTCAGGGACACTTTTAAATAAATAAAAAAGATAAAAAGATAAAATAAATAAATAAATAAATAAATAAAAAAGATAAATAAATAAATGTACAGAGACTGCGATGGACTGGCTCTCTGTCCAGGGTGTACCCCGTCTATTGCCCATTGACCGCTGGAGATAGGCACCAGCCCCCCCGCGACCCTGCATGGGCAAAGCGGGCTCAGACAACGGATGGATGGATATTTATAGAGAGATGCGCGCATAACTCATCATCTGCAGTTTCGTGTGCAGACTTCGTTATTCAGCTGAGTTGAGAAGACGAGTCTGAATACTGCAGCCATCTTTGTAAAGCAACTTCTCAATTTTATCTTTATTTACTTCTAAACATGCAATTAATGCACGGGTCCTGGCGGCTGGGCTATTTCTGTTTGAACGTTTAAATGCGTTCGCTGTCAACTGGAACCCGTTTCTCTTTCCCGAGATGTCAGCCGGCAGCCACCACGCGCTGCTTCAGTGCATATTTAATTATCTTTGTAAACGTTTAATCTCAAACAGCCCAGAGCAAAAGGCAGGCGTCATTTGGTCAAAAGCGAAGACCCCAAAATACACATTAGTATTAGAGTCCCTTTGCAAAAACACAGTATTCAGTTTAACACATTCTCAAAATTGCGTTTTTCATTGTTCATTTTGCAACAAAGCGACTGTGTTTGGATGGGAAAACGGTCAGTGAGTTTATTGCTTTGTGGCCTAAGTTCCCACATCTCTGACAGACTCCAGGACCGAGGAGCGGATCAGCACGCGCTCCGAAAACCAGAACCTGAGCCACCAACTGGACCACAAAACACTTTAATCTGGTGCTGTCGCAGAAGATATTTTGTCCCGGCGGCGCGTGGACATGCGTTACAGTTTATCAGATGTGTGACTTATGAGTTTATATATATATATGTATATATATATATATATATATATATATATATATATATATATATATATATATATATATATATATATATATATATATATGTGTGTGTGTGTGTGTGTGTGTGTGTGTGTGTGTGTGAGGTGATTGGTAAACCCTTTATATTTATAATGATAAAATAAAACTGTTAACCTTGTGTAGACAGGCGTTGCAGACTAGCTACGTTACCTGGTTACTCCACACACGTGTTTCATGAGCATGTTTAATTCAGAAGTTCCCTGAAGGACTTAGTTCGTCGTCCTTTTATCAACACTTATTTAGAGCCTGAGAGGGTTTTAACGAAGTTTAATGAGTGAAGCACATTATTATCTGTTTTTGCAAAAGCCACCAGAGAATAATGCATTTTCGTTAATAAGCCGTATGTTTCTCCATGTCTCCCCCACCCCAACCCCCACCTCCCACCAGTAGCTGCGGGCCGGAGACGAGGCCGGCAGACCTACAGTCGCTACCAGACCCTTGAGCTGGAGAAGGAGTTTCTGTTCAACCCCTACCTGACCCGAAAGCGCCGCATCGAGGTGTCGCACGCGCTGGCGCTTACGGAGCGCCAGGTGAAGATCTGGTTCCAGAACCGGAGGATGAAGTGGAAGAAGGAGAACAACAAGGACAAGTTTCCCAGCAGCAAAAGCGAGCAGGAGGCTGTGGAAAGGGAGAGAAGGGAGAAGGAGCTGCGGGAGGCCAGTGGAGGTAGCGGAGGAGGCGGAGAGGGAGGTGGAGGAGCGGGCGCGGTGAGCGCACAGGGCTCAGGGAGCGAAGACTGCTGCGATAAAGCCCACAAGCAGATGTAGGTGGGGAAGGCGGATGTTGTGTCGGTGTATTCTAAACGTTAGTGATGGCGGGTGAGGCTAGCAGTCTTTCCCGGGCCCTCCGGCCTCCCGTGGCCCCCAGAGACTCATCAGATGGGTCTCCGTATGAGCTGTGAGTTTGGGGGTGGGGTGGGGGGAGTCTGCCGACTGCGACAAACCCGTAGAATACACAGAGCTGTGACGCAACAAGAACTAGAAGAACTAGGTTGATTGGGGATGCTCCCCCAACCCCTCCTGTACAACAAAATAAATGAAAAGTAACTAAAAATAGAAGTGATAGGTTCATTTCTGTGTGGAACACGTATTGTGGAACATTTCTATATTGTTAGAAGTTTCTCATTAACAGTTTCATCTTGGCAGCTGTAGACTTTTTAAGTTAAATAATGATGATGGTGCACTTTTTACTGTAATTCTCACTTCAATGTTCTTCTTGTTGTTATGATTAATGATGATGATGATGATGTAGCGATTTATGACATTTCCAACAACATGAAACTGCCTATTTATGTCGTTTTAGTAGGTTCTCTCTCTCTCCACACACGCACGCGCACACACACACACACACACACACACACACACACACACACACACACACACACACACACACACACACACACACACACACACACACACAGTTGTTCTAGTTGTGTTTTGACCTCTTTGTTGACGATGTTGGTTTTATCTTGTATTCCTATATATTTTAAAAAGGGTTAGGACGCATGTGCACTGTGCAGATTTAAAAAAAGAACATTCATAATAATAAAAATATCAATAAAAACATCATTTTGAATATGAAGCTTAATGGCTCTAGTTTAAATCTGATGAATGAGTGAATAAAAGTGAATGTAATTCTCACCATGAGTGTGTTCTGTGTGATGAAACACCGCTCCTCTGGAGTGTGCACACACTCCCCTTTCATCCGAACATCTCCTTATTTATGGGCTCCTCCTTCACCTCACATTATTACAGGCTTCTGCATCCACCATTAAAACAGCTTCCATCATCAGCAGCAGCACCACAGCTCACATTTCAAATGGATTCCACATGAGAAGATTAACCACGCGGATTTGGCTGTTTACACTCGCTCACATGCAGAGAAGACAACCTTAAGGCTAGATTGCTTCTTCTCTTTTATCTCAAACATTTCACATCCGTTCTGAATGTGTCCTGCTGGAATCAACCACAGAAACACTGTTATGATGGTTGTTTATTTACAGTTTTTCACTCTATTACATAAATAAATCAAAGTAAAGTGACAAGAAGGGGGGTTACACTTAGAAGACTTTTAAAATGCACATTCTTAAAATGTTTCCTGTGATAAGCTAGGATATACAGGCTTATTTAGATTGTCATCATCACATCAAGTGGTGTGAAGATGGTGGTTCCAGTGATGCCCTGAACAGAATAGAATAGAAAACTCTGTTATTGTCCCTCAGGCATTCCGGCAGCACTTTAGGACGAAGCAGTTCACCTTCAAACAGATAAAAATGAAAATAAAGCAGAAAAAATGAGAGCCAGTGGCTAAGATTTGTGTTTCAGCAGCAGTTCAGCTTTGCTCTTCTGTTGCACACACACACGCAGACACACACAAACACACACACACACACACACACACACACACACACACACACACACACACACACACACACACTCGCGCACACACACACACACACACACACACTCGCGCACACACTCGCGCACACACACACACACACACACACACACACACACACACACACACACACACACACACACTCGCGCACACACACACACACGCACATGCACACACATACGAGCGCGCACACACACACACGCTCACACACGCACGCGCGCACACACACACACACGCACATGTTCCCCCTTTAAACACGTAATCATCCTAACTTCCTAACTTCACGTTCCTCCTTTATGCGAACAAGCTGAATTTGAGTTTTTGGAACAATTAGAGAATCAAAGGAGAACAAAACATACTTTGTGATAAATAGACCCGACGCCTCATGTATCCACCGTACTTGTGAACAGATGTGTGCGTAGGAACTAAATGACACATCGTGTGGTATTCATCGTTTTGTACCGGTGTGTGGAAATGTTCCTAAACACAAGAAAACTTCAGACCATGTGGGAACAGCATCTAGTGGTAGAACGAGGAACCGCAACAGCGAAGGTCTCAGTCATCCACACATGTTCCTCATCCACTAATAATTTTACCTGATAAATAATTATTCAGGTGGAAATGCAGCCGAGTCACATAACTGGTGCTGAAACACCCGACGGGAATCTGATAATGTAGAATGGAGTTTGTGTTTTTGTAACCAATAGTTACTCTTCTTATTTGTTTTATGTTTTTTAATCACTTTAATTATTATTTTTAATTTAATGATATTATATTTGCGTCCTTGTGAAACGCTTGGTGATTAAGCCTGAGATGCTTTAGATAAAATATTGTTTCTATATTATTATTAAAGCAAGGCAGCTTTATTTATGGAGCACATTTCAAACACAGAGGCAACTCCATGTGCTCTACAATCATCAGGATATGACATAAAAACACATAAAAACACATAAAAACACAAATTAAAATACACACAGATAGAATTACAGTTTAGAGCTGAAGGAGAAGACTAAGTTACAGCGCAGGTGGGAGCAGAGACGACGCAGCATAAGATGATGATGAGCACGTTAGGGTTAAACAACTCCCGGGGAAGCTGATTCCATATGTGAGCAGCATAGTACCTAAAAGCATCTCCACCCTGTTTGGTTCTGACCCGAGGTTCTGGTTGTTACATAAGGATCTCAGAGCCCTGTTGGGTGTATACACAGGAATGAGAGCTGACATGTATTCTGGTCCCATGCCACTGAGTGATTTATAAACTAGTAGTAGCACTTTGACATCTATTCTGTAGTTTACTGGTAACCAGTGTAGGGATGTAACAACAGGAGTGATGTGCTCCGTTCTCCTGGTTCTTGTTAAGACTAGCAGCAGCATTCTGAACAAGCTGCAGTTGCTTCACAGCTTATCAAAGATTTGATAGAGCTCCTCTCTGGAGGAAACGCGTCTCCGTGAGCGCGCTGACAGGAGAGTCGTCTGGAGCTGCGCTGGGATTTGGGATCCTTTGCAGAGCAACAGATAAACCGCACAAATCAGATTCCAGTCAATATTAAACGAGGTTCTTTTAGCTTCGGATGTGAAGGTGTTTCGAGTTACTTTTACATGTTTCGACCGTCGTCTGCAGCCTTCAGCAGAAATGTCACAGGTGTTTGTGTGATGCATCTTTATCAGCTGTTCTTCTGGTGGGCGCGACCAACCTGGATCTGTGAGATCCACCGGGTCGGCCACAGACATCTTCATGTCCAAAACAGAAAGAACCTCGTTTAATATTAAAACAGAGACTGTGAAGCAAACAGAATTGATGTCTGAATGCTGGTGACAAGCCTTACAGATTTACTCTCAGGTGGAGCATCAAAGCGTCTGCTTCTAATGTCACGCCTGATACTTAAAACTTTATTGTTATTGTTTTTCAACGCTTTGCAATTCCGACCAGACCCGGAGACAGAGGTGAAAGAGAAAGGAAGAGACAAACGATGTGTGTGTGTGTGTGTGTGTGTGTGTGTGTGTGTGGGGGGGGGGGGGGGGGGGGGGTGGGGGGGGGGGGACACAAGAGTCTGCTTCTAGACCTGCAGAAAGAGAGAAGAAAAAAAACAAAAACAAAAAAAGGGACACACAACAATACATCAGGAGCAAGCTATCACTGCGTCAACTTGATGAAGAAATATATAATCAACATTGTTTAACTGAACAATCACACGATAATAATTCACAGTGTATTAAGTGCCCACCATAGCCTTAAGACATGTGTTAAACGTGCCCAAGTTCATACTTATGAGAGCACCATGTGAGCACCTGTGTGTACACGGACTTGTTTATGTAAGGTTTCTTTATAAGAGCGTCCAATAGAGAGTGTGAGGGGCCACAGATCTGCCCCCCAAAGATGTGCAGGAGATGGAGGGAGCTCCAAGTCCCAGAGATCCAGGAGCTGCCCCAGAGCACAGGGACCCCATGGAGACTGAAACCAGAAAAGCCCCAGCCTCCTCTCGAGAGGTGTGGAAGATTGCCCTGGGGGGCCACAACCAGCAGCCAACAGAGTCCAGGAGATATCAGCGGCAAGCCCACAGGCCCGCCCGCAGCCTCCCACACCCTAGCCGGCCAAGCCCGGGACCCAGCAACCTGGGGCCGACCAACCTAGCTGGGGACACAGCAGAGCCCAGGGATCCAGAACCCACCAGGCAGCCATCGGGATTGATCAGACGGACACCAAAAATCTTAAACCCCCTGACCCGGGAGCCACAACCACTCAGGCAGACCAAGGCACCGCACTCCGCACCAGGTGTGGCAGGGGGATGGGAGGCAAAGATCTATATCATCAAAAGAAGTCCCAGGAGAAGGGAGGAGTCAAAGGCCCCACCTGACATATACAGCCACACACAAACACAGTCACATACACCCTCCCTCATGCTCACACATACAACCAAAGACTGACAAAAATGCATGCCGGACACCCACTAATGCTCCCCATACACACCCTATTCACTCTGGTCCCGGTACTGCTGCACATGGGGTACAACCATTACCGGTTACCAGAGTTCGACCCTTTCTGCTGGGGTGCTGATGAGCAGGCTCCCCCGCCCAACACTGACTACAGCAACCCACCAACCCAGACCCCAACCGGACAGCGAGATCTCCCTCCTAGCCTCCAGCCCCAGGAAGCCAAGCAACAACAGAGGTGTGCTAAGACCCCTAGTCTCCCTCCGCCTGCTTCAATACTGTGTTAGTGTGTGATGATGAGGTCTATTCCATGGCTTTGGTGAGCGGAAAGTGCAGGCATCATTTGCCCTCCGCCAGCTGATGCCGCCACACCACCCCACTTGCACCCACAGCCCTCAGTGTCTAAGTGTAGTTTAAAATTGGAAGTGGGCACCGGCAGTTGGGATGAGGCTGAGAAATCCCCCCAAGGCCCTAAGTGTGTGTTTGCATGGAATGTTGGCGGTGGTAGTGTTTAAGGTGCAGATAAAATTGGGGGGCAAGCTGCCACAGGAATGTGGAAATGGGGTCCATACCCGCACCCCCTGACTTGTCCACCCCCCAAGGTCCTATGTGCATGTTTGTGTGATGATGTGAGGGAGCAGGAGGAGAAAAATGTTTTGGGATGGGGAGGAATGGCTGGTTGGGCTTAGCCCTCCAGGGAGCCAGCTCCCCCATTGGCCCCAATAGGCACCTCCGTTTCCAAAATGCCACCCAGGGCATGGAGACCCCAGCAAGGACCCAAAGCAGCAGCATCGCAGAGCCCCACAGAGTCCAAGGGCACCAACCCAGCCCCACCCCAGCAGAATATCTACTCCCATCCCTGCATTTGCACAACTTCCAGAATATATAAAAATTAGGACACCCAGGTAAGGTTGGGTCCTCCCCCTCCTGGAAATCCCCCTCCCCCGTGATGGACAGCAGAGGAGCCAAGGTCTACCCGAGGCCCCTGAGCCCGGGCCAGGCACTGCCGTATGTTCCCACCTTCTTCCTGGCAGCATACATGTCAGATCCCAACCCCCAAGGCCCCGCCCAGATCCCCCCACGAGGCCGGCCACCCCCACACAGAAATATTTCTAGGGACGCTTGATACTTGAGGCCCCAGGTCCTTTCTACATGTAACTAACTTTATTTTTCCCATCAGACAAAGCTGAAGCAATGCAAGAGAAAAGCAGGAAGAGCTGCTGTGTCTGCTGAGGTGAAACAGAAACATGTTAGTGTGTTTTAGCTCTACGTCTCAGCACCTTCTGTTGCACTGAAACACCGAGGTGGTCCA